ACTGCTGAATGAGTTCCATCATTTTGGGGCTGCAGTGTGAACTCATTCATCTAAAACTTTTATACTGTGTACTTTAAAAAGTTGCAGGTAAGCCTGACATAAATTGTAACTCAAATGAGTGTACAGTCAAATAGGGCAGACAGGGTATGTGTAAAAATTGTGATATAAAATACAAAATGGCCAAAACAAGAAGTGCGAAGCACTATGTCTCAGTTCCTTCATTATGCAAAGAATAGATAGCATTGTCACTTAAAATAAGTCAAAGTGAGCTATCTTTTCACATTCTACACTCGGATGAATGAGAAAAGAAGCAATGAGTGTCTTGTCAACTCTGCAGGAATAAGAATTGTGACAATAATAAATAAATCACCAGTTAAAAGTTACAATAAATAACATATAATATATCACCAACTGAAATAGCAGAGCCAACAGTCATTCCAGTGGCCCCGCTTCTTAGTTAAAGGGCAGAGACCTGAAAGCACTATCAATCTCTTGCTATTTTGTAAATCTTTGGCATTTGCTCTTCTTATTACACAAGGCAGAATGATCAAGGTGCTTAGAGCTTAATGAAGCAAGGATAAATAGCAGAGAAAAATTAAGGACTTTTTGTTCAAAGCCAAATCTGAATACCTATTAGTTATCATGTAAATATTATTAAGGTCTCAGTCATGCCAAAAACAGAATAGGGGAATTTACCCGAGTCTATGACATTTACTGAGAATCTGAAGACTAAGAGCACTGCAACAGATCCATCTGGGCCTCAAATAAAAAGAGACTCATTGCTGGTGGGCATGCTGTCATCCTAGCACTCAGGAGGTTGAAGCAGGAGCATCCCCATGAGTTTGAGGCCAGCCTGGGCCACAGAGTGAGTGCGAGGACAGCCTGAACTGTGTAGCAAGACCCTGCCTCAAAATCCAATCAATCCATCAATCAAACATAAGATACAAGGGCCTGTCAAGTAGCTCAGCGTACTAAAGTGCCTGTTTAGGCAGAAAGCAGCGGCCAGGGTTCGATCCCTTGTATGGATGCCGGCCGCGTCCCTGGGATGTGCTGAGATGGCGATTGAGACTGGGCATGGTGGTGTGCGCCTGTAGTCCCAGCACTTGGGAGGCTGAACACAGGAGAACCAGTATGGGTCTGATCTATGCATCGAGACCCTGTAGACTGTACTAAATTTAAAAAAACATAATATACATCACTAGTTTCCCTGCCATGCAGTGAGTTCTTCAAGAAAAATAGAGCAAATCTGTTCACAATTGCTAACTAAAGATATATTTATGTGAAAAACCTTCTAAATTCTCTTCTGATGAAACTTCAGTGCTAAAAATCTCTTTCCATGAATTGCACTGTTAATTTTTTTTTGATACCAATAATCGAACTCAGGACCTTGTGCTTGTCAAGCAGGCACTGTGCCACTGAGCCATATCTCCAGCCCTGTTAAATTATTAAAAATTGCACTTGCTGAACAACCTCAAAGGAGAATTCCTGCAGTTTCTTTTTTTCAAAGTGGGGAATGGGGTAGGGTGAGCAGGTAGAGAGACCTCTAAGAGCTGGGTAGTGTTTATGTGGGACTACAAGTTACCACATGTTTTTCTAAGGAAAAAAAACTATCAAGGGAATGAATGAAATAATATGAAGGCAAATTTCAGACACACATTTAAAAGTATAATAATAATTATTCATGGCCAGTGTTATTGTAATTTGGATTCTTTCCATCTTTACCTTCATGCCATATCCCCCCAGTCCTCCAGCAAAGTGTATTTTACCTATGAAACACTTCTACTTCCAACCTTATCCAACCTACCACTGTCTATGGCCTGGAATAGCCAACTGTTTCCAAGTAGAATCCGCCTTTTCATTCCTGCTCCCCGCAGCCCATTCTGAACATGCTGCACTGGCCAAGGCATCACAAAACTTAAGTCAGGGCGTTACTCTACCCGCTCCATCTGCTCAATGGCTCCATTTCATCTCAGAGGGAGGGAAGGCAGCAGTCACATACAAGGTGGATCCTTGTTATTTGTTAGACCTTGTGTCTTTGTGTCTAGAGGTCCCCACTCCCTGCCAAAGCCTCAGTGGTCATACGTGGAGTTTTTGGACATGGCTGGATCTAGAGCATATGATGCTGGGATTAAGGATGTGATGCTAAGATTGATTCGTGGTGTGATGCTAGAATTAATGGTGCCCCACCCTGCACATGAATTAGAGTAGGTAGCCTAGACAGAATGTAAGGTAAAGAAAGAGTGCTACTGCTGTCACTTGTCATTTGCTGCTTGCTACTTTACCTCTTTGCCTGCTATGAACTATTTCTCTTTGGCAATGTCCCTCTGCTATGTACCCCCCTTCCTTACAGCCAGCAAACTGTGGACTGAGAGCTGGCCAAAAAGCTCAGCAGATTAAAGTGCTTGCATGCAGGCACAGGGGTCGGGGTTCAATCCCCTGGCCTGCCATGCCGGCCCCGCCCCCAGGGCATGTTAAGATGGCAATTGAGACTGGGCATGGTGGTACACGCTGTAATCCCAGCTCTTGGGAGGCTGTATACAGGCGGATCACTACGAATCCAATCTAGTAGTGAGAACCTGAACACCCGGTAGA